TTGAACGGGGATTTGCCCTATGCAAATGCTATCTATTATTATTATTATTATCATCATTACTTATTCTGCCTGTTCACTAGGGCTGGACAGGTACTGGTTCTCAGTACCACTGTTCACAATGAGCACTATTCTTAATAGACGGAGAATATGATTTTGTGATTTTCCCAAATATTCCTGATGATTCAGTGATTTTCATGTTGGCAAACAGTTAGTTGAGTTAGTTTTGACACATTGTGCTGATTTAGCTACTTAAGTTAGTCACTAGCTACACCAACTTCTTAGGTCAACACGAGATGCCATGAAATCAATTGGAGCTCCCGTTGAGGGAAGTATCATGCTCAGTCAGCTATAGGCTATACCATAACTTATAAGCTGACAAAATGCCTTTAAAAAAAAAATTCATAGCAGTTTGGAGAAAGGGAAATTTTTTTTATCAGTGTAACCATTGAAAAATAGCGTTCTTCTAATATTTGAATTCAAATTTATAGATTTTTTCACACAAGCGGGATAACTGATCAGGCTTTTGATTTAGCAAATAAGACATTTTGGCACTAAAATGAAAAAAAGCCGTTTTGTCAGCTTACGGTACGGCAGTAGCCTACATATAGGGCTTTGCTGCATAAGGCCTTGTGAGCTAAAGGACATTGCCATAGGACTTTGCTGCTGCATAAGGCCTTGTGAGCTGGGCTATAGGGCTTTACCATAGGACTTTGCTGCTGCATAAGGCCTTGTGAGCTAGGCTATAGGACTTTACGTCATAGGACTTTGCTGCTGCATAAGGTCTTGTGAGCTAGGCTATAGGGCTTTACCATAGGACTTTGCTGCTGCATAAGGAATAAGGCCTTGTAATCTATAGGCTAAAGGACTTTGCTGCCGCCTAAGGCTTTGTGGACCACAAGTTTATACACAGTTCGGCCCGGATAACTCAAACATGTCATCGGGGATTGACTAATTACAAAAAATATAGGTGTTCAACACATCCATAATTTGGGTCAACCGATGTAACGAAAAATTAAAAAGATGTTATCAGTGAGAGAAAGGCGAATTGTACAACGCCTAATCCGTGATTTTGAGTTTTCCGTGTTTATGTTATCTCCGCCTCACTGTATTTTGTTGGAGATTGTTTTAGTTTTACCCTTTTGCTGCCACCCAAGCTTGCTTTTACATACATTTCCATTTTATCTGGAGAGATGTTGGCTGACCAAGTGTCATATCATGTGTCTTGGGACTGGAAGGAAGTTTTAGTGGACCTGATATACTATATATATAAGTAGTATGAACTTTTATCATTTTCTTTTAATTGACTAATGCTAAGAATGGCCAGTTTGCTAAATGTGATCTCCTGATTAGGTACATTGTATTTGTTTGATGTTTGAAAAAGTTGTCAAGCGATGCAATCGTTTTGCTTCATGTATTCTCCTCAGTAGTCCTTTGTCAGTGTTCCCTACTCATATTACTATTCGTATTAGCCCAGAATATTATCATAACTTGTTTGAATGTCGGGGTTTTGAAAATACAAATTCTCTACAAAAGTTTGCTTGTGTGGTTACGTGTTGTCCACTCCTGCGGTATGTGTCGTCGCAGTTTTTCTTCCTGTGGTCGGTATCTTGAACTTGAAACGATCTTTGCTCCTCCTGCATCAGCTCTTTAACTTTAATGTGTGTGTGTGTCTGTGTCTTTGAGGAGATCAGATCTGTATAAATTAAACGTGTGTGTGTGTCTTTTGAGGAGATCCGGTCTGTATGAACATGTGTGTGTGTGTCTGTGTCAGTCAGATCTGTGTTGGCTTTGTCTGTCCTGTGTGTGCGTAATTATATATTGGCTGTGGGTAATTATTTTAGCGGTGCGAGTGCCTATATGTTTGTGCATGTTGCGTATTTGCATGGCATATATGTACCACAATGTGTGTGTACCATGTAGGCCTACCCATTGTTCTTCTCTCTGTGTGTGCCTAAAGTGAGCACACTATACCTGTGTGTGTGTGCCTAAAGTGAACCAGTTATTAGTTATTGTCTGTGTGTGTGTGTGCCTAAAGTGAGCACGCTATACATACCTGTGTGTGTGCCTAAAGTGAACCAGTTATTGTCTGTGTGTGTGTGTGTGTGCCTAAAAACTAAAGTGAGCCTGTATCTGTGTGTGTGCCTCAAGTGAGCCAGTTATCTGTGTGTGTGTGTGTGAATTCTTCAACAAATTTTCTACCCGTGTATAAGTATATCTCATCTTGATTCTGTTCATGTGTTGGTGTTGGGCAAGGTCTAGATAGAACTGCAGTATATTATTGTGAGTGTTACATGTTCTGTAGAGATAAAGTTTAGGAAACATCTCTGGTCTCCGGCGTCAACTAATACATCGCGGACCGGGTTTTTGTTCTCCTGTAGATTGACAATCTTGTTGTTTTGTTGAGATGAACTGGCGGCAGCTGAATGCCTGTGAACTGTCACACACAGGAGCAGCTTTGCCACAAAAAACTTCCTAGCAGGTCACTGTATTTGAAGTGACCAGCACCGGCGACTCAATCAAGAGTTTCCAAGTCCAAGATAGATTAGAGAATGTAGCCAGTGTGTGTGAGTGTGGTGAGGTCAGGACTGCTGGCCACTCTGGTCACGAGAGCTCTCGTACTTTATGGCTGTGGCGATACATCATCATAATATAGACGTTTTGTTCTGCTACCATTGTCAAGATTTATTATAATAAACTAAATGTGGATTTTCTTTTTCACCAGACTTATAGTTTTAGAGTGCATTTTTACACAATATAATTTCATTTACATGTATGCTTTTCCTCATCATGTTGATTTTTCACTGCTGGTGGGTGGAGGGTGCCACTGGTAGGTCTTACTTTTCCTTTCCCTTTGTTGTTCCTGTATGTCTGTCTACCCCCCCCCCCCCCCTTTCACAGCCAAGCTTTCTGCAGAATAATGATGCAAATGGGTTCTTGACAGTTCTCACTTCTCATTTCATTTCTTAAACAACACAACACCAGTGTACCATGGAGAGCTTTATCAAGACATTCAGAAGATAAAGCCTTTTGATTTATGTTTTATCTACATAACGGTTCCAAAACTGTGAAAACCAAAACAGGACTTTGTTTTGATGAAAACCATGGTTATTTCAAAGGCCATTCCCGGTTCAAGATTTATCTGAAGGATAACCCTCCAAGTAAAGGATTTAAACTTAATGAAGATGCAAGAGAAAATCAGGGTACATCTGACTCTGTTCTCTAGAGATGTACGTGGGTGGTTGGCGGGTGCTTTGGTGTGGTTTGCTTCTTCTTTCCTATCAAACATCTATCGTCCTTATCTCCCCTCCTTTTTTTATGTTTGTTACTCTCTTGTGACACCTCTAATCTTCTGGCGCTCATATGACCTTATGCAGTTGCGAGTGCCGTAAAACCCTCTACTAAAACTAAAAAACTAAGAGATGTACTGTGTTGAAAAATGAACCGGCAATAACCCCATAAGTGTAACTGTAAGTTTGATGATGCCACTCTTGAAAAAGGCTCACCGGTCCCATATTGACCTTTCACTTGCAAAATTCTGCCAAGTCAAGTTGGTCCATTTTTGAAAAAAAATTCTCATATATTTAGGTAAGCGAAGAAAAATCCTTCAAAGATTCTATTTTTTCCTATTATATGAAAATGTTAGCTTTCCAGATGTTTTACACAAGGCAATTCGTTGTTTCTTTTTGTTAAAAAAACCCCCCAAAAAAACTTTGGATAATTTAAAGTAAGAAGGCTCTGAAAATTGGTATTTTTTCGCGGCCACATTCAACAATCAACAGAACCCAATCTTTGGCTGTCCTGGCAAAACATGTGGAGCGCGCCAATGGCTCGATTTCTCTGGTTTTGAGTTTAACCTACCATCTTTCTAGGGTGACAATGATCAAGTGTTATGGTGGTTTTTGATAAACAAAGACCAAAACTAAACTTCATTAAAAAACAAAGAATACAAATAATCCGCAAATTTATCTGGAAAAAATATCAATTTTCTATTTATTTGGTTTTGGTGCTGTGAACACTAATTGAAACCCCAAAATGTTATTTTTGTAAAGTAACCTGCTTTTTTAGACTGCTTAGTATACTTACGAGAAAGGAAAAGCGTAAAGACTCAGAAGTCAATATTATATATTATTCAAGCAATCAAAAAGTGGTATCTTTCTTTTGATGGCCAGTATTGAAATAGTTTGGGCAAGATGAACAAGGTAACTTAAAAACAGTTGTGACATTGAATTACTTTTGTACAAGGTAGGCCTACTGACTGGTATTAAAAGTTCAGTGACGGACTTATTAAGTTCATTTCATCGAGAACCTTCCTACAGCTCAGACGGTTCGTTCGTGACAGCCCCAGGTAATGTAAATTTCTCGACAGGTTCCAAATGTGGACAATCAAACCAAAGTGAGAGCACAGATAGGAACCCACGGGGTAAAAGATCAAGGGGAAGACCACGTGGAACCTGGAGAAGAGTCACAGAAATTGATGTACATAAAAGTGGGAAGACATGGAATAACATCAAACGTCTAGCCCTGGACAGGGAAAGGTGGAAAGTGTTTGTTCGTGGCCTATATCCTGATCCAGGGAGAGAAAGCCAACGATGATGATCACAGCTGGATCTATGGCAACATGGTTGATGAGCAAACTGCTGTAGATAGAAAGAGCATAAAACGTAGCGTGGAGTGATGGATGAAAAGTTTTCTTCTTCGTGGTTGTTTTGGTTATGTATACTAAAGTCAGTTACTAAAAACTGCTAGAAGTTGACTGACTTGTGAAAAGCAAGAGATCAGAAGCTTCTAATCTACAACTTTACAACTAGTCACAAGAGCCTTTTCAGAATTCCAACCTTTATCAAGAGAAAACACACTGAAGTGAAACATATATGCACATTAGTGAGTATTTCTCTTGGCAACATGTGAAGTTCTCGAAACCGTGAGCTTGAAATACTCGATAGAATTTCAGTAAAATAAGACGTAACACTGGCCATAAAGAAACTACAAAACACACGAAGTACAAAATTTGATGTGAACTTTTATTCAGATGAAATGTAACAATGACAAATGAGAGGCGACCCCCCTGAGCACACACAACATCAACTCTTTCACTCGCACAATTCTCCGCCATTCACTCACATTTCAAACTGTTCATGCATACAGAAACAAGTGTACACAGGTATGAAAAATATTCTGTACGCCATGTCATTCCAAATGCAGGAACCACTTGAAGACTCATGAAATTGAACCACTTAATATCAAACCACATCAGCCCTGGCAATTTTTCGATGAGGTAAAACAAGAGAACTTCTAAAAGGGAAGCACTGAGAAAGTATTACTTTACAGATAAACAAGGGGGACTTCTAAAAGTTGGCAAAGCTGTTGTGAAGATTAATTTTGTACAGTCTATTACTCTAATTTTTTTAGGGGGGTGATGGGTGAGCATATCACTTCCATTTCAATACTCTCTGTATTGAGCAGCCTCTCTGTAACGACATTGTCAGGACCAGAAAAAAATGTCATTAAAGAGAGACAACCAAAAAATATTACTAATATAAAGAAAAAATCGGGACCTGCGCACCATGTCGCTATACAGAGGATGTCGTTATATCGAAGGTCGTTATAGAGAGGCTGCACCGTATTGTCAAAAAACCTTGTATGCAGAGGTAAAAAAGTGTTAACTGCGAAGAAGTTCATCCTTTGTCTCCAAATTCATCTCCCACTTGTTTCTCCCAAGCAGTTCCACAATCCCAGTCATCCATCCATTCATCCACTCATCCGAGCGTCGTGGGCCGACAGCCAAAGGGAGAGCAATCACCTGATGCGGTCCCACCTCCAGATGCTGCCGTCGTCGCTGACTGCCAGGAGGATGTTGCCGTCCTTCGAAAGTGCTGTCTGGCGCACAGCGGCCGTGCTCTTGTGGTGTGCCAGCTTAGCAAATCTGTAGAAAACGTATTTGTTATTTGGGCAGTAAAGAAAGAAAGTGGCAGCGAATGTGTTCAAGAATGACAAAAGACACGGATGTAACTGGAGCTCCAGAGAGTGTTAGGAATCTATACGTTGTATTGTGAAACTCAAACTCGGATTCAAAGAAAATTTGGATTCAATGAAATTCAACAAAAACCCAAGTTTTTTTTCTGAATTCATTAAAATCAACAAAATAGCTCAGATATATTGAACACAGAAAATGAACAAACTCGGATTGTGGAATGTCGGCAGAGATGCAGACGAGTTACAACCACACGCCCCCATCCCACACTAAACAATGACAGGCTAGCCTAGACATAAAACTGCGTTATGAACTGCGAGCTTGTGGAAACAAACGTTAACGTACCCAAAGCCTTACACTGCAAAGCAACTTGTTGCTCAGAGGGATACAAAAAAATTAACTCAAATGTCTCTGAAAACAAGGCTGAAACAAGATCAACACAAGAAAACCTCCGAGAGCGTACTTGGTTTGTGTGGGGTCATCCACGTCCAGGTCCCAGACAAAGATGTGCCCTACTTGGTTGCCCAGCGCCATGATCTGTCGACAACACAGCACAAGGTCAACACCACAAGGCAAACTTTTCATCCATAAATTACTCACAGGAGATACGCTATTTAAAAAAAAAACAACTATAAAAAATCCCCC